TCCAGAATGGCGTAAAAATCTCAACTGCCCAATACCACCTTGGGTCTCATTATGGCACCCCCAAACATGCATCTGTAAAAGAAACTTTGGACATTTCCCCCTGTTAATCTGTTTCTGTTCAATTTGATTATTAACCCAGCTAGAAGAACTTAGAAGGTGAGAGGGAAATTTTTTGTGTGTGACGCCCCCACTCCAGTTTCTAACAAATCATTGGGCCTGATGGAAACTGTGTTGATTGTGTGCTAGTACTTTGAAATTGAAAACCTCTTGTAAACCAATGATTGTTTAAGTGTTGGTACTGAAAGGTGACACGTTCATAACAGCATTCCATTTGACTCTAAGGATCCTTCATTTAAAATGGATCTAACTGTGGTGGCAGGCATGGTCCCATGTTGAACTGAGTTGCTGACCATGTGGATCCAAAATGAGTCTAAAACATCTCTGATGTCTACCCCTCCTGGTTACGTGTTTGGAGCAATGAACTTAAAAGATCGGATGTTGTATTTACAACCTCCAATGGTAACACATGGGGACAGATCGTACATATAGTTAGACTTAATTTAAATGGATGCCTTAGAGTTGATACGTTCTCAGGGAGCCCTCAAAAGGCACCAGTGCCTCTCGGAAATAAAAGAAGTGAAAGACACCATGCCTTCCCGCCAGGAGCTTATGGCTGAAGTATAGAGATAACACATATTTTCTCATAAGTAAAAGGACAATAGGAAATTAGAAACAGTCTGTAATCTATGGGTAAGGATCATCTATTTATGGCTTAAAAGAAAAAGGATGCTAGTGGACTGGAGAAATCAGGAAGGGCCGCGTAGCTTTTGTAGGACTGTGGTGGAGTACATGTCACACGTTAAACTGGAAGAGGAAAGGGATTCTAAGCAAAGAGAACAAGAGCGACATGGTAAGACTGAGGACAAGTGTGAAGGGATAAAAATATGTGTGGTACATTCCGGGGATATTAAATAAATAGGTCTTGTCAGAGCTGAAGGTTTATTTTGGTGAGCACTAGAAGATGAGTCCTCAGAGCTGGTGACAAAAGGCCTTTGTGCTGAGCAGAAGAGTTTGACTTTCATTTTATACGCAATAGAGGACAGCCGGTGATGTTATCATCCATCTGACATACTCGCGGTAAAATCTCATCTGCAGACCACTTCTGTAAGTCCTGTGTGTTCAGATTTTTGCCTCATCTGATTCTTCACCATTATTAAGAAACAGGTTTAAAAATATCATAAAAACTGAGGTAATACAAAAGGAAAATGAAAAAAAAAACTAGACAGCTCCAGAGTCTCAAAAAAATTGCTCTAGGGTCTCAAAAGTTTGCTTATTTTCACATACATTTTTCACTTTACATTGAGGCTTACCTCTTGGTAACTGTTCTCTAAACTGTTTTATTTCTAATGTTTTTACATTTACTGGGGGTGGAGGGTGGGGAGGGGAACTCTTAAAAAATGTATTGCTACTATTTAGCCTTAGACCAATACTGGATCTTTTCTATTCTCCCAAAACACTAACCAGAAAGTCAAGGATGAGATGGCAAGCACCCGATAGCCTGCCATTTATTATTCCCCTTATCACCTTTAAGATCTTGGATGCATTGAGCTGCGCCAGTCCTCCGGTCCCAGGAAAAGTCGAAGGCGATTCCTTCAAAGAAAAACAAATATGATTCTAATTGTTTAGTTAAAAATTAAAAGTGCTACTTGATAGTGGGTTCTTGGATTAAGGGGAGAGTCCCTAGGGGAAACAGTCACCGTCTTGATCTGGTCTCTCCCACAGGTGGCTCCAGTGATCAAAGCCAGAATGATGGAGTATGGGACCACAATGGTCAGCTACCAGCCCCTGGGAGACAAGGTCAATTTCTTCCGCATGGTCATCTCGAATCCCGCAGCAACTCATCAAGACATTGACTTCCTGATTGAAGAAATAGAACGCCTTGGACAAGATTTATAATAATCTTGCTCACTAAGCTGTTGCAATTCTCTAGATAGACACTTAAGTTGTCACAAACTGTGTGAATGTATTTGTAGTTTGTTCCAGAGTAAATCTATTTCTATATCGTGGTGTCAAAGTAGAGTACAGTTAAAAAATCAAAAAAAAAAAAAAAACCAACATCGCTCCTTTTAAAAATCCTTTCTTAAGTTTAGTATACCTCTCTAATAATTAGTGACAAAAGGCTGTGTTCTAATCAATAAGGAAAAGCTTAAAATTGTTATAAATACTTCCCTTACTTTTAATATAGTGTGCAATCAAATTTTATTTTCACTTCAGAGTAGTAGGATTGAATAGTGCCAAATCGCCCCCGAATCATAAAAGGTTCTTTGGGGTGCAGCAAAAAGGATAAAGTAAATATAAAATATATGTTGACAATAAAAACTCTTGCCTTTTTCATAGTATTAGAAAAAAATTTCTAATTTACCTATAGCAACATTTCAAATGTATTTAAATACATATAATTTTACAAAAGGAAAATATATATATTAAAAAGAAATCCTATTTTGTAACATAGATTTTTATTTTATATGGGTTATACAAACTGCAGGGGCAGATATAAAACTAAGCCAGATTTTTTTTTTCTTTCTTTCTTTTAATGGAGGCACAAGAAAACCTTAGCAAAGTTATTTTGGAAATATAGGCCCACAAAATTCTTAAAAGGTATAATGCCTTCTTTCTATTCGTGTTATGGCTTATCATCTAAAGTCAGTATTACAAAACAAACACAAAAGAATAGAATATCGCAAGTTCCTTAATGTGATTGATCAGATCGACAACAAAATTCTCTTCCCAGTTAAGTGTGACAGGCCAGGCTTCGTTTTAGACTAAATCAGGGTAATTGTCTCTCTTCTGCTTTCTAGTTCAACCTGTTTGGAAAAGAAGGTTGATTCTGGTTCTTGAGGCATCTTCCCAAACAGTATTCTTTTATTAGATCACTTGGATTAATTAGGGAAAATAAAAATAAAATCTAATCCACCCGAGCAAAGACGAATGAAGCACACTCCAGAATGTGCTCAGCCCAACAAATTAATGTCAGCCTTGGGAGAAGAGGGTTCTGTGTGAGAATAACGGCGTCATCCTAGAAGGAAGGAGTCATTTACCGCCTGGGGAATTGTTTAGTCTCATTCCCTCCCCATAAAAGTCTCTCCCGCTAGGCTCCCCATCATTGGGGCCCCAAAGAACTAATTTCTACTCTATGGGTGGTTATTTTTTCTCTAACAAAATGAGCTCCTCACCTAGAATTGAGAGACAGCATCTTAAGACCTTCTTTTCTCTATTTCCCATCAAGATCCAAAGTGACCAGAGTATGCAGAGATAATAAAGATCCTTAGAATTCAAAATATTTTAAAAGCGTCCTCTGTCCCTGCAAACCCGATGGAGAGACATGAGCTGACAGGAGCTCCCATAGATACTTAAGGAGCCGCAGACCCCGAGTGTTAGTAGAGGTGACTGCGAACTCATATACAGACTGCAGGCACAAATTTAGAAACAATCGCCCTTCTGTATAGACCGGAAATAGCTTTTAACCACAAGTCGTTTTCCTCGCCCCCTGCGCCTTCTAGCTCCTTCCCCAAGTTCACTGGGAGCTTTGCTCAACCGTATGTCGTAAAATCCCAACCAATCATAACCCAGGGAAGGAGGTAAATAGAAGCCTAATAGGTCCTAGTATTTTAATAAACATTCCTTTGAGTAGGTCTGTAATCCACTCAAGAGGGAAGGTGTGAGGGAGGGAGACAGATTTGAACATTAGCCAAAATTCCCAGGGAAGGCCTTGATGTGGGATCATTCTTCACAAATTTTAGAAAAGTTTAGTTTTCGCTGCAATCAGGATTGACATGATCATTTCCATTTATATAGCAATATCGTGTTTATTATTTTAAAATACTTGAAAAAAAAAGTGTGGTATGTCTTAATCCGAGATGTGGAAATGGTAGTGACTTCATGTTGTCACAAGGCTGTGAGGAAAGAAAAGGCAATCAGTCGCGTGTGTAAATGTGTTGCCTTTATCGTATTGATAGTACTGTCTTGTCGCCTCAGACTGGGGTTGTGCACTTTAGGTCTGAACCATGTACAGTGTTGCAAATCAACGTGTGTTGCTGTAAAAGCTTGTACAATATATTATCGATGTGTCTTTTTCTGTGTGGTAGCTGTATTGATATTCTGAGAACTACGTTCGCATCTGTTCCTATACTCCCTCTCTCTGCTAAACTATACGCCCTCCACATCAGCTCTAATACAGGACATGCCCTCGGCTAACTAAGCTCCCCACTGAGAAATCTCCTTCGAGAATTGCGTGATTTCGCAAAATGGAAGGCGAATGCTACTTCATCTCTGAGAACAGAAGAAACCGATGATGGAATGTCACAGACGGCCAAAATTGCAGACATGGTCCCTGCTGGGGTTCAGAGTGGGTGTTACTCTTTGGAACGTGGCCAAAGAAAGCACAGGTGTAAATATAGTGCAGGAAAAGGAATCAAGGACCCTAACAATGTTCATCATCCTGCACGTGCTCTCCTGTTTTCAAAACTGTGTATTTATTAAGTTCGCGTGCCAAAATACGTTCCCAGCTGGTGTTTCTGAAAGACATCGCCGCCCTCCGACATTATTCCATTACTAAAGACAGAAAAAAATTAAAAATATAAACACGTGGCAACCTGTTCTTCTTAACAAGTATAAACTTGTGTATGATCAAAGTATTTTATCTGTGTCGTCTCTCTGAACCCAAATAAATGTGTCAATGTGGACAAGCTCCGGCTTTGTATGCTTATTTCTGACCTTGCCATCCTGTGGAACTAATTTTTAATGAATTGCCTGAATAAAAGGCCCTTCACTTGTCACGGAGCGCGGTGTGTCTTTGGATCTTTGTTGGGGAGAAAAGCTCTTATTTCTGCAGTCACCCTGTACTGTAGCTTCTGAAGGATATCGTTTACCACTCTGATTTCTCCTTCAATCAGATCCAACCTTCTTTAAAAAAAAAAAAAAATTATTATGGCAAATTTTATGTCCAAACACAAGTGGAGAAGATAGTTTGATAAACTCCCATGAAGGCTTCACCAGCTTCAACATTCACTGTTCAGAGCCCGACTCTCGTTTCATCTACTCCCCCACCTCGTTTCCTCCCCAACACCAAATTAGTTTTACATGAATCTGTAAAAGGGAAGGATTCCTTAAAAAAAAAAAAAAAAGCCCTCAATACAATTATCCCAACTAACACTATAACAGTAGTATTGCCTTAATATCAAATATCCAGTTAGTATTCTCATTTCCCCAATTCTCAATTCTATAGCAAAATCCATGGCCATGGCCTGTGGCCCAGGAAACTCACTGAGGCCCCAGACATTTTTCAGGACAGTTGGAACACATGCAATTCAGGTGCACAATACGAGGCGCTGTACACATGGGCTACTGAAGTGAGGGCAGGTTAAAAGCTAGAAAGTCATGGGACTTTAATGGGTTGAGTAGATCCTGATATGCCTTGCCGGGGACTTCTGTGGCCAAATAAATACAAATCAGATTTAGTACATATTACAAGAGCTTACGAGTGCTGTAATGTCATGGGTAGAGGTGTCCTAAAACAGGGGTCCCCAATCTTTGGGCCACAGACCAGTACCGATCAATTGCTTGTTGGGAACCGGGCCACACAGTGGGAGGTTAGCGGCGGACTAGTGAGCAAAGCTTCATCTGTATTTGCAGCCGCTCCCCAGCACTAGCATCACCACCTCAGCTCCACCTCAGATCCTCAAGCACTAGATTCTCATAGGAGCACCGGTCTCTGGTGCCGAAAAGGTTGGGGACCGCTGTAAAGGACTGAGTTTTGGTGGCCTGGAAACCGTGTGCTCACATTTTTATTCCTCCAACGAGGCAGCTGCTGGAACAACTGCTGGAGTCAGACAGCCATTTCCTAGCTCTGTGACCCTGAGCAAATCACTTAACCTCTCTGAACCTCAGTTTGCTTGTCTGTTAAGTGAGGATAAAAACAGCCCTTACCTCAAGGGTGATAATGAAGATTCCAATGAGAAGAAAACCCAGCGCTTGCAACATTGGGAATGTTTACTATGTGTTAACTTTATTTTTATTCTGTGTTGCTGCCTGTAAGAATTAGGCTTCAGATGCACGCCCGTCATCCTCCTTAACTCATCTAGAGAAGACTGTCCTGAACACATAAAAGATGTGACTGCAGTATCTCCCTGTAGAAAGCTGTTTTACGAATTATCCTTGAGGACAGCAGGCTGGTGACTAAGGCAGCCTCAGTCACAGACTTAGCCTCAGCTTTAACAGAGACTGGGAAGAGACCCAGAAGGGCTGGGCAGGATAGCTGAGGAAAAAGGAAGAGCAAATGAAATAAGCTTTTTCAGTTGCAGTGAATTATCTAGTACTTGTTCTGAATGCCTTTGCCAAGGACACATCCTTGCCTCAGACAGGCAGCCATCAGAGTTAGAGTGAAATGACATAGGACATCAGCTTTGCTTCACTGGAATCGCTAATATGGTCACTTACCTAAGGCTTACAGCTTCCATTTGTACAGTGAGGCTGGATTGCTGGGGGCACACCAGGAGTGGGAAGGTCTCCCCTAAGCCATTAGAGTTTCCAACGCCTCAAAAAGCAAGTAGCAAAGAAACACTAAAAGTTCTACATTGAAGATCATCCCTGCCCAGGATCTGCTGCCATTAGTGCTGGCCTTGTGGCACACGCACAGATAAACACAAACAAACTACTCACTCAAGTGGCTACATGGTCATATCTCTACTCAGAACCCTGCTTCCACTTTTGGGAAAAATGTCTGTGGTCTCTATTAACGTGTCAAAACTGAGGTGTCTGGCTGAGGAAAAGTAATTAAAAGCTAATTACAGTTGGCAAGAAAAGGACTTTTGAGAGGGATTTCAATTTATTTAAACATGGGAACTTTGTAAATTCCAAGAAAATTCAATTATACAAACTTGAGAAAAGGAGAAATTCAAAGAGTTTTGTTTTTTTTTTTTCCAATTCAGATTTTAGTCAGTCAAAAGGAAATCTTGCTGCTAAATCTCTTGCCTTCTCTTTATTTCTATATCTGTCTGTTTAGGGATTGAAAGGATCCAGAGAATAAAGCACAGGGATTTTCTTTAGTATTAATTTTTATTTAAATTGTTGCATAAGGTTGTAAACATTTCCTCTGTCCTGTTGAGACGTATTCCAGAGGAAGAAACCATCCCTCGGTGTGAGTCTCCACAGCTGGCTGGGCCCAAGCTGGTTTATGTTCAGGAAAGAGCAGATGGTTCCAATTCTTACCTAGCAGCGAAGAGATAAAGAAAGAGTTCCCTTCTCGCTATGTAGGCGCTTGTTAAAGCGGCAAAAACAAAACATCTGCTTGCTTCGCTTTTTTTTTAAGGGTGGATGGAATTTCAGGTAAAATATCTATCGATAATTAACCATCATAGTCAGGCCTGGGCGGGAAATTAAATTCTGACATTGAGTGATTCCCTCTGCTCCTGTCATAATGAGCTATAATAATTTATTATAAGAGATGATTTAGGAGTAAATTTAATGCATGAAGGACCCCAGCCTGCTGACACCATTAATCTAATAATTATAGCAATATCGAATGGGGGAATCAATGCTTCCTGGACTAATGACAAAATTCACTAATCCTCAGTAATATATTGTCCCTTCTTTTTATAAATTCTAAATGTTTTTTCCTCCTAGACTAATGGCAAAATTCACTAATCCTCAGTAATATATTGTCCCTTCTTTTTATAAATTCTAAATGTCTTTTCCCCATCTCTAAAGTTGTAGTGATACTTATTGCAGAGAGTTGTAAGGATTCAAAGAGAATACATCTGTAAGGCATTTGGCAATAGTAAGCTGCCCACGACGGTTCCCTTCTCTCCCCAGCTCTGTCCTGCACCTGCCCTGCCTTCCTGTGGTATTAGAATCGCCTCCTGATGGAATGGCTGCTTGGCAGTCAATCCGATCAGCATATTCGCTAGGAACGTGATTGCTACCCTGGGTAGCTTTTCATATAGACTAAGGGGTGTCTTTTTGTTTGTTCTTTGTTTGTTTATTTGTTTTGCTTGTTTGCTTAAACAAAACATCAACTGAGACCATGCACTTCTGCAAAAAGAGTCACAAGACTGAGCATACTGGGAGCAGGTTTTATTTGGTAAACTCATTTATATAAGGACTTTATTGGATTTTATTTAGATAGGTCCCCACAAGGGGCAGACTAGATAATATCCTATTAGCTGGTGAGCAGCAGCCACCTGAGACAGAGAACCCCACGTTGACAAATGCCACTGTAGCTGCCTTTGCCGCAAAGAGATGACTCACGTGAGCCATGGGAGGCCTCAGCAAGCAGAAACAGGATCGACCAGGCTGCGTGGCCACATCTCACACCACGTCTCCACATCCCACACCACGAGACTGGCGCCGAGGAAGAATCTCACTCTGCCTTCATTCGCCTCACGTACAGGCTAAAGGGAGCTGCTCTCCCTGCCTCTCCCCAGGACCCCGGACAGGAGCACGCACAGGGTCCCTCTCAGCTAAGGACCCTCGGCTCTGTCTGATACAGGAACCTAAGTATCTCACCCTTCCTGTGCCGAATCAAGAGATCCCGCCAGGAAAGAGGAGATGAAGGAAGTGGAAACAGTCTTAGCCATTCCCTTCTGAGGTTACATAACACACAGTTTGCTTCAGGAATGGGGGGAACCACAGTGGTCCCTAAAAATATATATATTTATATATTTATATTTAAATTTATTTACATATTCATAGATGTCTACATTTATATTTATATATTTATTTATACCATATATAAGTATATTTATATGTAAATTTGAATTTATATATTTATTTATAGGTATTATATATGTTATATGCATAAATATATATGTATGTGTATGTGTATATATATGTAACTTCCAGGTTACAGAATATACCTACAAGCTCTGTAATATGGCTAACTTTCTAGCCACCTGCCTTCCAGGAGTCATGGCCAAGCTACTGAAAGAGTAAGACAAGAAAAAAATCAGTGTAAACGTTAAATATTCGTGATGTGTTAGCTGCTGGGCGATAAGAATGAACTATCATAGTCTCAGGCTTCGAGGAGCTTACAGTGCGGCAGGAGAGACAAAGAGCTAGATCAATACACGACTTGTCGTAATTACCAGAGTTCTGTGAGTTGCCTTCGTGAGAACTCAGAGAGGCGGGATCTTGAAGGATATTTTCCAAAAGGACAAGAGCGTGAGAAAGGCATGGGAGGCCCACCCCAGGAACGGCACTCTCAGAGAAAGTGCAGCTCACAATCCAGCACGTCAGCTGGGAGAGCCTACTGATGCCTCTGGTCATAAAGAGAACTAAATGCACATTGTTGGCTTACAGGAGTGAAAAAATCAAATCTTAAGCAGTCATTGTTCTGGAAGCATCTATGAGAAATGGGAGTGGTCTGGAGGGTGGGAAACAAATATGCATTTAGTTACGGTGGCAATTTGTTAAGTGAAGCTTCTGGGGCCAGAGCAGAGCCCCCTGGCTGGTGTGTAAGAGAACTTTCCAGCAGCTCCACCCCAATCCCTGCTTTGAAGGCTGGAATGCTGGGCCTGAACAGAGTACTACACAAAGAGGAGTTTTCAGTGGAAAATTTTGCTTCTCTAGAAACCATGTTTTCCTACAGATAGGTGATATTAGAGCAAGTACAATTTTAGAAGTAGCCACGGGCTCAGTAATCCTTCAGTACCATAAGCTTAAGAAATGTTCAGCCACATTTAATAGAGG